AATATGAGTGCATCAACTTTTTTTTTTTGCCTTTTTAACTAAAAGCAGCATTAAAATTTACGGGGTCTACTAAAACTGACAACTTGAAGTGTAATATAATGTGAAAAGGCGGACCAAGATTTCGCAAAAGAAAAAAAAAATGGATAAAAAAATTTCCTAAGAGAAGACAACAAAATATATAATGTCAAAAGGTTTAATTTTAGACTTTACGAAATAAGAGGCATATATTATTGACTCTCCATTCTCATAATCTCATTGACACTTTTAGCCAAGATTAGTGCTTTAAACATAACTTTAATTCTTATATTATCTTATTAAATTATAAGAGTACTCTCATCTGTACTCTATAGACCCATGTTTGTTTCTTTATTTATTTTGCATCGAGACTCATTAGTGTAGTATTTGTTCGTTTTTATAATCTCAACCTCTTAAGTGCATGATAAATGTTCGAATACTAGATGCGGATCGGAGAAGTTACATCTAACCATGTTTGCAATTGTAGACGCATAGTTATTGTTATAAATATAATACTCTTCTCGTCTCGCATTAATGTTATTCCACATATATGACGAGACAAAATTATTTTAAAAAATACTAATTGAATAGTTGAGAGTTATGCATATGAGAAAAAAATGATGCAAACAAGATAGGGATTCCCTATGTTCATAAGTGAACTTCACTTTTGTTATTCACAAGCTCAAATAATTTATTACTTATTTACTAATTTACGTTAATGTTGTTTGAGAATAACATTTTCGATTCTGGTTAATGTTTTGAATACTCCCTCCATTTGAAAAAACAACTCCACCGTCATTTTTTGTGCATCCCACAAAATATTTCTACCTCATCTAAAATGTCTAAAGTATCTCTAAAATAATTTAAGGAGAATTAAGGTGTATTTCAGACATTTTATACGGAGAAAGAAGTATTTTGTGGGATGTGCAAAAATAAAGATGAAATTATTTTCGAAACAAGTGAGTATATTCTAATTGTGCATTAAATTTAGAAATGCTAAAGCTAAATAATGCCGTTAAATAGTTGTTTAAAAACGCTAAGTCTAATATATAATGATATTACCAAACAGAAAATAAATACTCCATATTAATTTCAACCTTGCATCAGGTAATTTTTATCAATCATCTTTTGATTTTTGGTAATTTTCTTAAATCCTGTTAAATCAATATCAAAATGTCTAATTGCTTTTAGAGGATGGAGATAATATTTTGTTCGTATGTTGACATCATTATTGAATATTATTACTTCAGATTGTCTTTATGAAACAACAACTTTATTCTACTACGAAATTAAAACAAGAGTAATTTACCTAAATAAGGCTAAAACATAATGACTTTTTCAATATAGGACCGTATATTTTTATTTCTCAATGTAGGACCATTGGTCATTATCTATTAGTCATTATTCAACTAAATATCCAGCATCACTTGGACATTATTCTTCTCACTAGTCACTATTAAGTTCTATTTAAGGAATAAAAAAGTTTAAGTTCTACATTGGAAAATGACTTATATTTTAGTCTAATTCAGTGCAAATTTCACTTAAAACAAACTAAATTAATTAGCCATTACTTTCCAAACACTTGAAAAAAACACTTGGTCCGCATGGGTAGCTAAACTAGTCCAAGGAGAGAATGTAAGTCCATTGATCCTAGGGTCGAATTCCGATAGCGGTGATGTGCGAGTTCTATTATTTATAAAGAAATCACTCTAAATAGGACTAAACATAGAGAAAAGTACCAAAATAGGATTTTCATGTTTTTTCTCGAAATAGGACTTTGCATTGTAGTAATATAATGTGGCACCGCACATTACTATACTTTTTTAGTAATGTACATGACCATGTTTGATAATGTAAATGCATTTTAAGTCCTATTCCGGGAATAAAAACATGGAAATCCTATTTTGATATATTTTCAATATTTTATTAGTCCTACTTTGGTCTTTCTCCTTTCTTTATAATTGCTCTTTGTACACACCGGGCACACACACGACGGTCTCTCTGAGAACCTGATCAAAATTATATCATGATTTTCTCCTTCACTATTCTGTCGGGTGAGGGTGTGGGGCGTCTCCACAGGGCTTTCCACCTTCTTTGAAAAAAAGGTGGGGAAATAATTAAAGCTTCGAATTCCATCCATATAGCTTGAGTATCACGGAGTCTTTGGTAAGTAAATCACAAATCTACACAAAAGGAATCCTAATGATTAAGTATTACCGTGTGTGTATAATCAACTTTTAAAAAATCACAACTTTTCTTGCCATTAATTACTTTTGACTTATTATCAATTTAATTTGGATCTGGAAATTTATTGTCAATGCCAATAAATAGGGTGATAAAGAATTTTTTATCACGCACCCAAAAAACACACTAAATTATTACTACGTAGCTCTATAAAACACTAGTTATAGAGTTTTATCATAAATATATCGGTGCGGTTCTAGTGACATCGGAGTGGCGGAGTATGGTGCCACTCCGGTGCCACTGACATTTTGGGGCAACTCCGGTGCTCCGTTCGCAAAATTGACGGTTCCTACCCCCGACTCTGCACCCCATCCCAACCTCGTCGTAAGCCTCCACAAAATGTGTGGCTATTATGCAAGGCATAATAGAAATATATGATTGTATTTTGCTTCTCTTTAATGAGTATTGTAATTTCAGAATATGGTTAAATCTTTTTTTTTCACCAACAACAAACACAATATACACACATTCCCACGGTCCCACCGGTGGAAAGACGTTTCGCTTCCAACGACATGTTGACAATAATGTCCGAAAAGCAGTGGCCGGCTAGTGGCAACACATCATCCTTAATGATATGTACTGAACTGTTTTTACATCTCACATTTGCTTCTAATAGAATCAACTTCAAAGTCCCACATCGGTGAGATAGGAAAATTGATGAGGGATTGAACCTATAAATAAAGAGGGGATATAGGCTTCCATCATACAACACAATCCTTCAATCTATATAATTGTGTATTAGATTTTAGGTTGTGAGTGTCAAATATTGGAGAGGGTTTGTAATTTTTCCGTGCAAAAATTACTAGTGAGATTTTATTCCAGAGGGGGTCGTGGAGTAGGTCTTGAGGTGCCGAACCACGTTAAAAATTTGTGTGCTCTCTTTTCTTTTCTTTCCAATTATTTGCAGTGGGGGCCTAACAAGTGGTATCGGAGCCAAGGTGCAGAGCCCGGGTGATCTAGTAATTATAATTCTTAGTATGCTCTCTGGTTGCAGCTTTGACTGATCTTCCACATCAGAAAAGAATTATTAATTACAGAGTTGCAGTCTATGGAGGAAAGAGATAGAGCAAGGAGCAAGAGGAGGGCGTGCCACTTCAGTGGAGGAGGTGGTCCAGTCAGCAGAGGTGGGTCCGTGAGGGCCACGTCAGCAGTCTGTGGGTCCGAGTGCCATGTCATCATCCAGTCATCGCCACATCAGTAGGTCCAGTCATCGTGTGGGTCCCGCTGGTGACTTTCGGAGAGAAGTTGGTTCTGACTAATTTTGACGTCCTTATTCTATTTTTTAGGCCAGTTTCCTCAAATTTGGATTGTTTGGTATTGGTTGATTGCTGCTTGAGTGGAACTATGACTACCTTGAAGTTTGAAGTTCCGTTATTTGATGGAAGAACGGACTTCATGTTGTGGCAATACACGATTCAAGACTATTTGGTCCAGCAAGGTCTTGATTTAGCGTTGCAAGATGAGAAGCCAAGTGATATGAAAGAATCAAAGTGGAGTACAATCCAGAAGAAGGCTGTCAGCACAATTCGGTTGGCACTGTCCCCACAGATTAAAGTGACAGTGCTGAAAGAGACATCACCAAAGAAGCTGTGGGAAACGTTGGAGAGCAAGTTTACGTCGAAGACACTTACTAACCGGTTGATGATGAGGATGGACTTGTACTCACTGAAGATGGAAGAGGGAGGTAGCGTAATTGATCACATCAACAAGTTTAATGAGCAAGTATCAAGGCTGTTAAATGCAGGGGAGACTATCAAGGATGAAGAGCAAGGGCTGCTTCTACTGGCTTCACTACCAAAATCCTTTAAGTCGTTTGTGCAGTCAATGATAGCAAAAAGGACTACACTGCGACTAGATGAGGTGACGACTGCCTTGAAGGAGGGTCAAAGGATGATGGGAGGTGAAGAGTCTTCCGGGGACAGTCATTTACTAGCTGCTGTGAGTGTTGAAAAAGGGAGGAAGAAGAAGAGTGACCAACTTGGGAGAAGATCTCAGCTGAGAGACATGAGCACTGTTAGGTGCTATTACTGTGAAAAGTTGGGTCACACGAAGAACGGTTGTCCAGAACTCAAGGAGGACTTGCAGATCCTAAAGGAGAAGAAGGGCAAATCGAAGGAAGCTTCTTTCGCAAATGTGATCACTTATGAAGATGATCTCTTCTGAAGATAAGAGTACTGCTGGACAGAAGATTCTGCAGGATGGAAGTATCGCTGCAGAAATCGCAAATGATGTAGGACTTTGAATTAAGGGGAGATTTGTTGAGTGTTACTTCAAAGTCCCACATCGGTGGGATATGAAAATTGAGGAGGGATTGGAGCCTATAAATAAAGAGGGGATATAGGCTTCCATCACACAACACAATCATTCAATCTATATAATTGTGTATTAGATTTTAGGTTGTGAGTGTCAAATATTGAAGAGGGTTTGTAATTTTTCCGTGTAAAAATTACTAGTGAGATTTTATCCCAGAGGGGGTCGTGGAGTAGGTCTTGAGGTGCCGAACCACGTTAAAAATTGTGTGCTCCTTTTTTTTCCTTTTGTTTGGAGTGGGGCCTAACATCAATAAGTCTCAAAAAAAAGAGCACTAGGCTAGGGCACATAGAAATACTCCCTCCCTCCCTCCAATTTTTTTTTAAACTTGGCACGACGATTAAGAAATTAAAAATAAAAAAAGTAAAGACTTCATGTTTGTCCTTGACGCGATGGAATAAACTGAACAGTGTAGATAAAATTTGCGGGTATAATGAATGGCACATTCATTAAAATTTTGTTACCAAAACGAGAAACGGAAAAGAAACTATTGCTAGCTAGCTAGCTATATATGTATATATAGTTAGCAACGGTTTCCTTTGAGACAGGCAAGAGCACCGGCAGAAGTAGTGATGGCTGGCAACATGGAACTTGGCTTTGCCTCCAAACTATAAGCCCTGGAATATGAAGTTGAAGTGCCAGACTGTGTGAAGTATGCCCCATTCAGCATGAGGTCCCCTTCTGATCTCCAGTTCCAACTCTTCAACTCCCACTCATTCGCATTATTCCTTTTTGTCACCTGCAAAAAAAATAAAAAAAATTATTACTATGCCGCGCGTGTTCGTTCGTCGTCATCGGTTTGCGTGCGTAAAATCTTGCGCGGTTAACTAATAATGCGCGCGTATATGCAACATACATACCTCTTTGGCATGAGGATCGTTAGGGGCGAGGAACCGATTGCCTTGGGAGGTGATCGTGGGATCGGCACTGCCGCCGATGGCATACATCTCCCAATGGGTGTAGTCATTGTTCACCACATGGAAGTAGCCGTGCCTGCACCTTGGCATTCTTTGTATCAGACCTTCCCCAAAGTGGTTGAAGGCTATTGTCACCTGCATGTTCTTGTCTTTTGTGTATGAATCCGAGTGCCCTAGCAGCATCACCTGTGCTTTTACAAATTAGTTTGATTGTGACACAATTTGATGCTAGCTAGCAACATCACCTCTTCATTAATTAGTCTTATTACGTCTATATATATAGAGAATATACATGAAGAATCCCAACCAAAGCAGAATAAACTAAAGAATTATAGTAATAAGAAAAGTAAATAATAATAATAATAATATTTTTGAGAACGGAGGGAGTTTCATTTTTTATTCTGATTTTTTTCCAATCTGGTTTACTAACCTCTATTTTTTTCAATTTTTGATTCCCTTCTGTAATAATTAATCTGCAATTTTTTTTAATAACTTGTTGATTATTGGGGTTTGATTTTCTTCATCTTGCGTTTGTTAATTATCTTCATTCTTCGGTGCTGCTGCCATTGTCAATCGATGTAGCTATAAGGACATTAAAGGCTATGGACATTTTTTTCTTCAAACAATAAAAAAAGGACTTCGAACATAGTGGACAATCTCCATCCGGTAGAGGACACATTATTTGATAAGATCGAGGACGCTGAGATCGCAATGGCAATAGATGCAATGGATCATACAATGGACATTATAGAACGGTTAGAATGTTGTGGATATTCTCATTTTTCTTTAGGAATATAAAGCCTCTGAACATAATGGCTAATGTCCATCCGGTTGAGGACATTATTCGAGGTAAAAGGCGGTGGTGGTGACTGGGCGGTCGATAATGATTGCAAGTTGTTATGGACAATAATTGATTGTGATTGATGACAGTGTGGTTGCGAGATAAAGTTATAAATTAGGGTTTGAAACCCTAAAAAGATATTTTAGTACATTATATAAATAAGTAAAATTTGCAATAAATAGGACCAAAACATAATGACTTTCCCAATGTAGGACTTAAACTTTTTTATTCCCTAAATAGGACTTAATAACGACCTAGTGAGAAGAATAATGTCCAGTAATGATGACATTTACTTGAATAATGACTACTTGATAATGACCAAAAGTCCTACATTGGGAAATAAAAGCATATGGTCTTATAGGATCGATTGTTAAATAATTAGATCCTAGTTAGGGAAATAAAAATATATGGTTCTATTTTTAGGAAAATTAGTATGTTTTGATCCTATTTAGGTGATTAAATTTTCTGTAAATGTGATACAAATAAAACTAACCTCGTTATGGTGGGAGAAGTAGTTGTTGGAAATGGTGATGGCGGTGGATCCCATAATCGCATCGACGAGGCCATCAGCACAGTTGGAAAGAGAGTTGTGATCAATCCAAATGTGGGTGGCCCCGAAGAGCGAAATGGCATCCCCGTCCGCCATCGTCCTCCACCCGAAATGGGTGGTGGAGCTACGGACCATGGCGTTCCCCGTGGGCCTACAGTGGTGGATATGCAAGCCGTGGATAATAATGTTGGTGACGTTTTGGAGCGTGAAGCACGCACCGTACGCCACGTGGACGTTGGCCCCGCGCCCGTCGATGGTCTTGTGGCTGTTCATGATCAGCTCCTCCTTCAGCATGATGAGCATGTCCCCCTTGAACACGATCCACAGCGGCACCTCCTGGATGACCGCGTGCCGGAGCGTGCCCGGCCTGGGGTTCACCGGGTTGTCGTCACCCGAGTCGGTCACCACGTAGAATCTTCCGTCGCGGCCGCCGACTGCGAGCCGGCCGAATCCCATCCCGCAGTCGGCGAGCCGCTTTCGGTCTCTCCGCCACCTGGGATTGATGCGCCAGCAGTCATCAATGGGGTTCCCAGTTTGGGTGTAGTATTGGTTATTTCCTCCCATCAGTTTCCTCCTCGCCGTAGCATTTCGGATTTTCCTGCATGACCCCAAATTTAGTCACTCAAATCAATTTCCAAGTCCTACTCCCTACCCGCCTTTCACAATGTGAAATGGGATAATTTTGCATTTTGTATTTGCATGTCACCGTACGTGTTTTCTGGGCATTATATATTACACTGTGACTCTCCACAGAAAAATGCACCATGGGTGAAGACGACAAGTGAACCATTTTCATTTCTCTCCGCAAGATCCATTGTGACAGAATATATATATATATATATATATATATATATATATATATATATATATATATATATATATATATATATATATATATATATATATATATATATATATATATATATATATATATATATATATATATATATATATATATATATATATATATATATATATATATATATACGGGATTGACTCCAGTGAGATGACATGTTTCGGTCAGATGACACAAAGCTGACCACTGGCCACTGCAAAGCTCACCAAAGGCAACTACAAAGCTCACCAAACTGTAAGGCAAAGCTCGCCATATTTTTTCAACACTTTAAATTTTTTTTCAAAAAATAAAATCAAAGAAAGGGGTCCTGACTGGACTTTGACTGTTGACCGCCAGCATTGACCACCGCCTGCCGCCGCCGGTCGCCGGTATCCGGCAGCCACTGCCGGTATCCGCCGCCGGTCTCCGGCCGTCGCCAGTCCCGCCGCCGGTCACAGCTGCTGCTCTGCCGCCGTTGACCGGTGTTGTTTTTTTTAATTAATTTTTTAATTTTTAAAATTTAAAAAAAAGTGAGTTTTGGGGTTCAAAGTGATGAGCTTTACTTTATTTCCAGGTGAGCTTTGTTTTGTCCATTGGTGAACTTTGTAGTGTAATGTGGTGAGCTTTGTGTCATCTGACCGGAGCATGTCATCTCACTACAACCGAACAAGATATGGGAGAAAAATGACCTGGCTTTGTTTTTTTAATCCAATATCAACCTAAAAACGCTAGTCCAAAATTGACCGAAATGACTTGATAAAAATGAGTCAAATCGTACCTAAACTCGAATTCTATCTAACCCACCCAGTAATATAAGACTTTTTTTAAACAATATATTTTAATATAATTTACAGTCTCTTTACTTTCGATTAAAGGCAAGGTCTGAGAACACCCCCCCTCCCTCTTGAGTCTTGACCACTACCCTGGTGTACTCTAGTGGGATTCAACTGAGTTGTAATTATTGTTGTTGTTGTTATACTTTAAAATGAAGTATAATGTTACAAAAATAAGGTTATAATTATATTTTTATCTTACTACCCGTTTTTAGTATATAGATTTATATTTTCAACCAAAATTTTAATGATCATTGCATGATTATCTTGTAAAGGATAATATCTAACTATTATTATTCTTGAAGTAGTCTTCTCCTCTTGGGTTTCTATATATCTATACGCATAGCACTGTAACAACCCTTGTTAATAGCCTTAGGAATAGCTCTTGCTAACCATTCTGTTCCAGTACTCATATGTATATATACTCTGCATGTAAACGTATGATCAATTGAGTTATTATTTATCAATATCTTATATATCTTACGTTTTTTCACACTTGTGCGTATTTAGATACTTTATTCGTAATATTGATTTATATATCTAACATTTACTTAAAATTGAAAATAAAATGATCTAATAAACATAATGCATTTCTTCCAATATTCTTTTTATTTAATGCAAAATGAAATTGTTAATAGAAATTTAAAAATTTTAAAAATAAAGGACATAACTCATTGGGTCAACCCTAACTTAATGAGACTAGGTTATGAATATGTTATATATTCTCAACCCGTATCTAAATTTATAAGAACTCAAAGTAACCGAACTAGAATTGCTCGAACTCAAATCCAACCTCACCGACAAATTTACCAGCTCTAGTGTGAGCGAACCCATTGTCAGCTTCTTTTAAAATTTTAGGACTTGAAGGCCAGAAAAAGATCGGCGAGCCATGTGTCTTGCCACCTAAATTTGTTCTAGAAGATAGTATGTAGGAGTAAATCCAACAAATTTTATCTGATCCGTTTTTAATCTAAAACCTGACCTGAAATTAACGAGTTTTGAATATCGATTTTGGGACATGAACCCGAAGACCCATTGAATTTTCGAGTCAGGTCGGGTTTGACCCAACGGGTTATGCACTTAATTATTTACTTTTATTAGTTATTTAGTTTTATATACTCCCTCCGTCCCAAAAGAATGTTACGTTTCATTTTTTGCGCATCCCTTAAAACACTTTTATATCGGGCATGTTTGGGAATAGCGTTAGAGATTAGCGTTAGCGTTTTGGATAAGATTTTAACGGTGCAGATTACTTTGAAAACGCTAACGCTAAACGCTGGCCGTAGATAACCTTTTCAAAACGCTAACGCTAATCTCTAACGCTATTCCCAAACAGATACATCGTCTCAAATGCCAAAAAAACTTTCAAAACAGTTTCATCTTATAATAAAGAGTAAATATGGTAAATTTTAGAATTTTTAGATGTGAGTAGGCGTGCTTTTTGTGATGCGCAAAAAATGAAATGTAACATTCTTTTTGGGACGGAGGGAGTATTTATTAAAAATACATACTCCCTCCGTCCCTAAATAAACTTCCCCTTTCGTTTTTTCTTTGTCCCCAAATAAACTTCTCTTTTCCCTTAAAAAACCTCTTTTACCCCTTACTTTTTCATACCCTACGTATTACATCATACCTTTTTACTAATAAATTATCTATCATATCTTACTTTTACACATCACATCAAGGGTATTTTTGGAAAGTGAACACAAAAATATCCTTTCCTTAAATCTTCAAAAAGTCAAAAAAGGAAGTTTATTTAGGGATGGAGGAAGTATCCATTAGGCCACTTAAAACTCAAAAGGCGTAAAATCTATTCTAAATCTGGCGGCATTCCAGTCTTTCGACTCTCCCTCTCTCAGTTTCTCTCTTTCGTTCCTCCACTCTTTCGCCGATTTTAGGTGCCGACTCAACAACACGCTAAGAAAGCACAAGAACAATAGTGGAATTTCTAATCCTATCTCATCTTTTTCAGTTGGGTCTCCTAAGTAACTCAAGTTTTAGTTCTTTTCTTATATTTTTTTGGTATATTATATTTTTTTGTATAGTGCAATTTTTTTCGGTATGCTGCAATAATCTGCTTTGTTTAGGACACTTCATTTTTTTAAATGCAGCAATTATGTACTGACGATACATGTTTTGGTACATGCTACAAAAAATGTAATGACGGTACCATGTAAAAAATGTAAACAAGAATAAATATGACTCTTTGTTGATCACTTTATCATCTCTAATTTTTAACATTTTTTGTCTTGTCCTTTTACGGGCTAGGTTTGGTCTCTATTGGGCAAAGGTGGTGATCAAACACGGCCGGCCTAACTCCTTCGAGGAATGGTTCCTTGCAGTGCTTCTTTGATGGAGGGTTAGATTTCATTTGATTAATTGTGTGTTTTCTGATCCAAAAGGAAAGTTTCTGGCTGCGGCAAATGGGAGGAAGTCAATTAAGGTCCCTTTATGGCTGAAGCCTATGCATGTGTAGAGACTTTATACTGACCTTGAGATTGTTTCTTTCTCCTATTTGGGTTCTCTTCTTGATTCGTGTTTGGAGTTACCAAAGTCTTTTCTCGAAGTGTCTCACAATTGTGTGCGCAGAGATGTGAATTACGTATGTAGCTCATATTATTACTCGTTTGATATCTTCTGAATAAAAGTTTCTTTTCCTTAAAAAATACTCGCACATCTATTACCCGTTGAGTAAACTCAAACTCAATTGCTCAGAGCTAGTCATGAACAAGGAGTCTATGATCCAAACCCTAAATAACCCAAAATTCAGTCTAAAAATGAGAAATGGAGTGTATTCATAAGAATTTTAGATAAGGTAGTTTAAAAATATAAAAAATCATTTCTAGAGCACAATCACAAGCTTAAGCTTCAGAGTCTTGTTGACTCAACGTCATCCAATTTTTTAAAAAAATTAAAATTTCACGTGGAAGGCTTGAAAAAACTATATACGCCCACAGGTGAGGGTGCATGTTAGAATATAAAAAACTATTCTTGGGCCACAAGATTTCGCTTTTGGTTGAATCAATTTCATGAGAGTGGTAAAAGTGTATTGTGGAATATGAAAAATGTTAGGGTGGAATTGTTTTATGAAACGGAAGGAGTAAAATGTTTATCACAGTATCTGACACAACTTCTTTTTCCTATAGCAGATTAGCAGCCGAAGCTTTCTTCTATACTCCATTCGTCCCAAAATATTTTATACTTTATGCAAAGCAAAACAAATTTTAAAATTTCTTAAATTCATTCTATATAAAAATTGGTATATAAATTAAAAATAAAATTTACATATTTAAAAACTATGTCAAAAGTTCTACGTACAAAACAAGATGTGATCACTTTTGTTCGTTTGCTTGTTTCATTCATCATTTGATAAAATAAAATATTCTTCTCACTCATTACTTCAATACCAATTTGTAAATAAAATCATATATAAGTCACGAGATTTTGTATATTGATCAAAAACGGTAATTTATTTTGGAACGAAGAGAGTATTCATACCTCTTTTTTCTCCCTCTCTATCGACCTCTCTTTTTTCTATCCAAAAAATTAAACTTTCCCTCTTTAATTTTCTCGTGCAGTTTCTAAAAGAAGAAAAAAAGGTGTAGACTTGAAAAATAAACAATTCAATCTAAAAAAAGTTTGAGAAAAAAATCTATTTTCTTCCAAAATTATCTCCCGTCCCTACATTAATTATGCTCACCCTAAAAAATACTCCGCCGTGTGTTGGAATATTATACTCCCTCCGTCCCAAAAAGAATGTTACGTTTCATTTTTTGCGCATCCCTTAAAACACTTTTATATCGTCTCAAATGCCAAAAAAACTTTCAAAACAATTTCATCTTATAATAAAGAGTAAATATGGTAAATTTTAGAATTTTTAGATGTGAGTAGCCGTGCTTTTTGTGATGCGCAAAAAAATGAAATGTAACATTCTTTTTGGGACGGAAGGAGTATATTTTTCGAGACTACAACCATAATTTTGAATTTTTANAATTATGCTCACCCTAAAAAATACTCCGCCGTGTGTTGGAATATTATACTCCCTCCGTCCCAAAAAGAATGTTACGTTTCATTTTTTGCGCATCCCTTAAAACACTTTTATATCGTCTCAAATGCCAAAAAAACTTTCAAAACAATTTCATCTTATAATAAAGAGTAAATATGGTAAATTTTAGAATTTTTAGATGTGAGTAGCCGTGCTTTTTGTGATGCGCAAAAAAATGAAATGTAACATTCTTTTTGGGACGGAAGGAGTATATTTTTCGAGACTACAACCATAATTTTGAATTTTTAATTAGTTGAGTCAGCTGACATGGGATTGAGTTTTGTTGACGAAGAGATCTCGAATTTAAACTTTATCATCACCCAAACCTAAAAAATTAATGTTCAAATGTAAAGCTACAACAACAAGTTTAAGCTTTTGGCTATGCCTTATTTGCGCTATTTTTGAGGGTCGTTGACCATGAATTGGATTAACATTAACTAATTAATGACAAAAAAAACACAAAATATTAATACTCAGGCAGCATTCCGTTCAACTTATTTTTTCTGCTTATTACTTATTTTTATTATAATCAGATCAGATCAGATCAAACCAGATCAGATCAAAAAGAGCTTTAATTCTAACTACAATCAAATTAGATCATATTAGATCAGACCAGATCATGTGAGACCATACCAAACCAGACCAGACCAGATTGAATATTCAAAAAATCAGATCAGATCAGGCGAACATAATGCAAACTCAGAGGAACTTAATAAATTAATTACTCACTCTTGAACCATTGATACAATTTCCTCTGGATCGTCCACAGCATGCTTGTGAATGGATTCAAGATGTGCCTTTACCCTGCAAATTAAATTACAGAGGGTCAACACATATATAAACAACTTTACCCTGGCAAAATAGAGGCACTTTTTCTATCATATCATATCATTGATGCATTACTGCATTTAATTTGCTATTTATATTAGGTCATCTCAAATGAGAGTATTGAGAAAGCCTGAGAGATAGATAATTTTAAGGGCCTGTTTGGGAATAACGTTAGAGATTAGCGTTAGCGTTTTCAAAAGGCTATCTCAGGGCAGCGTTTAGCGTTAGCGTTTTCAAATTAATCTGCACCGTTAAATTTTTATCCAAAACGCTAACACTAATCTCTAACGCTATTCCCAAACAGGCCCTAAGACTTTCTTCTTCAGAATTCACTATTAGGAAAGATTCAAGGTCGGAAAAGTCTGGAACGAAGTCTTTGAATTTCCAGACTCATCATTTCGAGACTCCTAATATAACTAATCCAATAAAAAAAATAAAAAAAAATTGTTATGCAACTAACTTTCATTTTATGTGTATTTACTTAAATGAAATGTACTGTTTTACTTTATATAACTTGTGTGTTAACTTTAATTAACTTTTCTAATTTTAATAAATACTCTGTAATATTTAATGCTGTTGTGTTTTTTCATTATTAGTTATAACTATAAATAGATTTTGTAGAAAAATCAATGTATTATACATTTATTCATTAGACAATTAATTTAATGGAAATAAAGTTCATATGAATAAAAGATTGGAGAATGCTGATGTGGTTAAAAAATGAAAGAGTCTCTGAATTGAAGCATATTTTTTGAAGGTCTAAAGAAAAATTTGAAATTATTGAATGCTGATGTGACAGGAGGGTATTTTAGAGGGCATCCCACCTCGAAAGTCAAATAATTAAAAAAATCGGATCGATTAGTTAGTTCAACTCAAGAGTTTATATACCAATTTTTTTTATTCTTGGACTTCCGATGTGGGATGCACTCTAACGACTATGCTCTTAAAATTTTCGTTTAAAGTAAGAAACAAATATTACTCGCCTCTCCTTCCACGATGTCGAGTTGTTCTTCAAGCTCCGAAACTCCGATATCTTGGCACTGGAGGAGAAATGCAACATGAATTATTTTGAATTAGATAAAAATAAATATATATACACACACAAACGCGCACGCTATAAACTGTACCTTTGGCAGAAATGGAAAGACAGAGACAGTGAAACCAACAAGAAACAGAGAGAGAAAAGCGATGAAAACGAAGACGAGGCGGCCATGGCACGGTGACACAAAAGAATGGTTTCAAGTGAAGTGATAGGAATCTTACATTTATAAATATTGATCGGCAAAGAAGAGGAAATGGCGCCAGAATTAGAGGAAATGTTTTGTAAAAAGAGTGGGAAAGCATCATTAAAATAATTAATTACGTAGTCTTTACGGAAACAAGTCAAACAAAGACGAGTAGTTAATTTATTTTTGTTTGGAGAAATGATAATGCCTTTTGTTATATGCCAAAATAGAATATTCAAATTTTTTATATCAAAATCGGATTCAAAATTATTTCAAAAATTGTTGAAATATATTTTGTCATTTATAGTGTTAGCACTCCTATTTAGAGATAAAAATATTTTACCATAAATCTCATGTTTTTATTTGTATTTGAGAAATTTCTTAGTCTTTTTTTTTGTGTACTATAAGAAATGGAAATTCCGTGTACTCTATGATCTTTTTCTTCGGTAAATAAAGTTTACACTTTGACCTTAAGCGTGATATACTCCCTCCGTCCCCAAATAAACTTTTCTTTTTGACTTTTTGAAGATTTAAGGGAGAGATATTTTTGTGTTGACTTTTCAAAAATACCCCTAAAGTGATGTGTAAAAGTAAAATGTGATATGTAGATTATTAGTAAAAAGGTATGACATGATAGGTAGGATATGAAAAGGTAAGGGATAAAAGGGATTTTTTAAGAGGAAAAGAGAAGTTTATTTGGGGACGAAGAAAAAACGAAAGGTGATGTTTATTTAGAGATAGAGAGAGTATTTTATAACATACAAATAAAAAATGAACATAAAATTTCACATAGAACACCAAACACCTATATGGCATTTCAATTGGTCTAATTTTTTGTAATTTTTTTAGGATAGTTTATTTATTCATAATTGAAATATGAAATTTTGAGTATCAAATTTAGGGAAAATAAACCTTAAATATCATATATGAGGATGACAATTCAGCAGAGACTGATGATATTTATCGGTCTACTCGAGTTAAAAATATCTGAATCCAAACCCGGATTCGATCTTTCACATCTCATTTGACATTGTCATCCTATCTCAAATCATTGTCATCCTTCTTCTCCACAATTGATGAACTCTACATTCATTATATTCCATCTCAAACCAAAGCCTCGGGCATGGTTGGTTGGGTACTTGGGTTGAGTCATCGGGTTTTGAGGGATGTTCGGGTACAAGTACAATCTAAAATCTGTCGGTCCAAATTCTAGTAATTAATATTATCAAATTGAATTGTATTGTTCTGTAATCCTATTTGAATAAGATTTAATCTGAATCGAATCTGACCCATTGTCATTTATATTGAAATAATAGCGTGAATAGGTTACATTACGGAAAAGCTTGGGAAAAAAATGGATCAAAAGAGGACGAGTACTCGTGTGAAAAGGTCTTCAAACTTTATAATTGATGAGACCCATTGCTCAATGCAAATCCTATGTGACCCCTAATTTTAACCGGCCCAAATCTTAAATGCAAATATTACTCTGCACTCTTTTATACTTTCTCAGTTGAGTTAATGTTTGTTCTAGTCTCCTTAAGTACGCTCACGATGTAATTTGGTTTTTGTAAGTTCAATTTAGTCAAATTAGCCTTTGTAACCACAAAATGTGAATCAAATTAATCTTTTACGCAAAATTTATCTTCTAAAGTTCTAGGTTAGCATATTAATTGACGCAAAAACTAATACACTGGGCCATTGCTTTTACTTCAATTAACATAGTAACTTAGAGTTTAAGGAGATAACTTTTGTTCGAATGACTAATTTCATTCACATTTTCTATATATATAGAGACTATTTGACTCAAATGAACTTACATGACCCAAATTGAGTCGTGAGTGTACTTAGAGGGACAAAAATGAGTATTAACTCTTCTCCGTCTGAAAAAATAATATAATTATGTTACAATTTATGATACTTAATTAAAATTATTTCCAATTTATTTTATTCTCGAAGTAATATAGAAATAAAGAAATAACAAGTTTTTTGAGAGAAGCAAAACTTCATTAATGCATAAAAAAATTTATATATTAATCAAAGACTACATTAAAAGATTTATATAACAAGATGCAACATTATTATATAGAGTATTATTTTATCAAAAAATCAATAAAAATAAATAAAGAAGGATGATTTTGAATTTATTTTAAAGATATGAATAGTAAATGTAAAAATCATTTTAGAATGGAGGGAATAAATGTCATTTCAATTTCATATCTCCACATTTTTTCACTTGGAACTTTTAATATCGTGTGAATAGAAATTCGAGCTTTTAACGAGAACTCTTTTAACATTTAGACACATTTGCTTTTGCAAGAGACTCAATTCTTCACATAAAATCAAAATTCCTGACTTGAAATCTACTTGAAGAAACGAGCAAACGTCAAAGATTCCCAATTTTTCCCTGCCCAAATGTAATCTATCAATAATGGTTTGCTTTATCATTTTTAAAGTTAATATACACTGCTCAAAAAATTTCAATGTTAATCACAAGTATTGTTTCCAAAGGAAATTAAACAGTGAAGGAACTAGTTTGGGTATGAACCAAACGATGTGGAAATAGCTTTTATTTTTCACACATTCGAAAAGAAAAAGAGAGTGGGGAAGAAGAAAAATGCAAGAAAAAAATTTCTAAATCATTAAAGCTTACATATATAGCTTGAGTATCACGCAGTCTTGAGATCATATACAAACGTTTTGTATTGGAAAATTTTATTTTGGAAATAATTTTTTTATAAAATTTTTAGGATTTTCGTAAACGAAGTTTAAAGTTATGTACATTCGAATGTAATATTTATCTCCAGCTTTCCTTACTAAAGGACCCGATACATTCAAATGTTTACTCTTAAACATTTGAATATTTCACGAAAAACACGATGATTTGCGCAAAAAAGCGCTGAACACAATGGTTATTCATAACTACGACATACATTTGAATGTTCTAGCAAAACATTCGAATATTTTGCATAAAGGGTTGATATTTTTTCAACTGAGGCGTCCAATGGTGCTCTAAATATATGGAGTCTCAAGATATGTTTAAGAGCCAACAGAACTTTCATACTCTTTCAGAATAAAAACACCTAATCCGATTGAAATATTTTGGTATATTCTAAGAGCATTCACAATGGCAAGACAATGTCTTGCCTTGTCATGCCATGTCAGCAAATGCCACTCAAATCATGGCATTCCATGGTCATTCCACCCCACTTTTCATTCCATGTGCAAGGCATGACTCCCTCATTTTTTTATTTTTTTTTAATATTTTTAATTTTTGAAAAAATATTTTTTTAAAAGAAGTAGAAATATAGACGAAATGGGTAAAATAATTTTTGCTAATTAAAAATTATTAAAAAGTACAAAAATAGACAAAAAATGACTTGTCACTGTATGTTACGACACTCCACTCATTTGCCACACGGTGACTGAGTTATTTTTTATTGCTTAAAATAGTCCATGTCACCGTGTGGCATTTCATTTTTGTCTTGCCATTGCTAATGCTCTAAAATAACTTTAGTCTGAAAGCAAGCACGCTATATCTCAAAAATAGCGTGTTTACTTTCAATGATAAGATGTTACATCAATGATCCTCAATTTTTGAAAACTATTTCATTAATAGTTCTTAATGTCAAATATGACAATAATTTTTCCACATATAATCCCTAAAAGGCCGATAATGAAATAATTTTCAAAAATAAAAGACTATTTTTGTAATACTAAAATTGGAGACTAAATACTCCCTCCGTCCTAAAAAGTTTGTTACGTTTAGAAAAACTTTCGTCCCGTAAAGTCCGTTACATTTCTATTAAAAAACCACTTTTACCCCTTACTTTTTCATACCCTACCTATCACATCATTTCTTTTTTCTAATAATCTACCCATCACATCCTACTTTTACCCATCACATCAAGGGTATTTTTGGAAAGTCAATACCAAAATATCTCTTCCTTAATTTTCCAAAAAGTCAAACCGTCTCATTCTTTTTTGGACGGAGGGAGTATTAAATACTCCAGATCATGTTTAAATAGAGACCATTGGTTGACTTTATTCTACTCACTCCGTTCTTAAAAACACTTATTCTTTCATTTTTTTCACTTCCATAAAACACTTCATCTTTCTATTAAAAAACCACGTAAACTCTTCATTTTTCATACCCTATCTATCATATCATACTTTTTCTCTAATAATCTATCCATCACATCTTATTTTTACACATTACATCAGGGGCAAAATTGGAAGTCAACTATAATGTAACACTTCCTTATTTTGGCTCCAAGTCAAAGTAGGAACCTTTTTTTTGCAAACGGAGGGAGTAGTATTATTATGGGTAATTTACCTAAATAGGACTAAAATATAGTAACTTTCTCAATATAGGACCATATGTTTTTATTTCTTAAGGTATAACCATTATTGGTCATTATCTATTAGCCATTATTCAACTAAATATCCAGCATTACTTAGACATTCTTCTTCTCACTAGACATTATTAAATCCTATTTAGGAAATAAAAAAGTTTAAGTTCTACATTGAAAAATGACTTATGTCTTAGTCCTATACAGTGCAAATTTCACTATTTTATTATAGCATCGTTAGCTATTAGACTGCAAGAGGTTCAATTGTGTGACAGAGAATCTAAAAAGTCACAAACACTATCCCTAGAAATGTGATGCATACATTCAAAAAAATGAGTCATTATTGTTAAAAAATACTATCTGTATTCCAAATTAATCTTTCCTATTTCAATTTTGTATTATATTGTTCCAAATTAATATTCCTCTTTCCTTTTTGGTGGGCTTTTTGTGGCTCAATTTTTTACTCGACATCACTTTCAATCATACTCCCTCCGTCCACCTAAGATCTACTCATTACGCGTTACGAGGCTTGATCGACTTTATTTTCAATTCAATTTCTTTGAATATAGGGGTAAAATTTTAATATAAAATCTATGTGGTAATAAAATACATGAAAAGTTTTACAAAACTAGAGGTGATAACACTATATTATTTTATGAAATGAGTAGTAAAAATAAACAAACAAAGTAAATTAAGTTTGACCATGTGAATAGTGTCTGGGAAGATCTATGGTGGACAGAGGGAGTATAATTTTACTTTCCTTAAATTTTGTGTAAAAACAAATCAGGGTGATTAATTTAGGACATAAGGAGTAGTTAAATGTAGTTTTAAAATAATAAATAGACATGCTACTCTTACAACTTGAAAATGCTATCTAAATACAACGACACTAATGAATGGTAGTGTATGGAGTAAAACAAAATTCTAATCTATTTCAATAAAAAATGGCTTTAGAACTAACTAAAACGAACCATTTCTATATGGTCTCAAGTCTCATATTTAAAATGTAGATTTTTTTACATTTTTAATGAGCTTACATGTGGATATTTTTTTGAAAAGGCTCACTTTTTTTACACTATAAATGCACTAAGATTAATATTACGAACATGTACCTTAGATCCACGAAAAAATTTGCTTTGAAACAAACCTCTTACAATGTTCCAAAATCCAAAATTATTTACGACTCAATTTCCGTGCCATTGGATAGCGGTGCCACTTCGGTATCATTGATCGCATCGATATTTCTTTCGCAAAATTGATAGATCCGACCGATCAGGTCGTGGTATGGGATTTTCCTCTGGGTAAGGGGTTTTATTTAATTTACCGAGCAAGTTTTATTTTAGTGCCACATCAATTAATGTTTCGCTACTATTTTGGAGCATTTCAAGTTAATTAAACAGCCAAAAACCATTTCGAAAAAAAAAACATCGAATATAAATTTTTTTATTGAGAACAAAAAAATTAAAAATGACCAAGAAAGAAGACCCATCCTCAACTACATACTCTCTAGCTCTAGCTAGCTATTACCTGCTGCCCTTTTGTTATTGGTCTATAAATGGAGAGACAAATCAAGCTTTTGACTCTTGCAATAATCTCCAAAGCCATACCTATCCCCATTCTCATTATTGTTATTATTATTATCATCATCATCATCATAATGACTATAATAATTGTTATAATTATGATTCACACTAAACCCATCATAATAATAATTAGCATTGCTGCACCTTTTATTATCCTTATTCTTCTCCCAACTCCCAATAAAGCTGAAATGATGATGATGATCTTGGGCTTCTTGATCATACAAGTAAGGGTTGCTGTTCAAGCGGCAGTCGGGCTCGAACCTCGGGCCGAACGTGCGGGCGGAGCGTTGGCCCGAGGAGGCAGAGTGGGGGGAGATGTAGAGGCCCAGATGATGATGAAGGAGGAGGGAGTTTGCCCTAATGAATTTGCTCTTTCTTGCTGCAGCACTTCTCTCCTTCTTGTGTGCATTCTGATGGCCACCCAAAGCTTGTGAGCTGTGGAACTTTCTAGAACAATACAGGCATGGGAATGACCTGCTTGATGCATCATCTTCTCCATTGTTGTTGCTGTTGTGGTTTGGTGCTTTGTGGTTTTGGCTTCCCATTAATCCTCTTGTTGTGTTGTATGTTTCCATTCCTCTATTGGATGATGTGTTTGATGGGATATAATTATGGCTTCTTGTTTTTTTTTTTGGGGGGGGGGGGGGGGGGTTTT